GGGGGAGGGAACTACTACGACCCGGGTAGTGGGTGTTTTCGCGCGCGAGGTAAAGAAGAAAGAGGCTGGGTGTCTGTGTTTGGTAAGCTTTGGGGACGAGGGGGTCTCTTGGTAAAATCCAGACACGCCCATTTTGTATAACTTAGCCTATATTTGCTGGAAGATTCGGCATATCAAAGGTTATCGTCCTGGAGGGCTGACTTGTAACTTAATTGAACAGAAAAAGAACGCATGTTAAATGCCAGTTATATGTATGCTAACATAGAAAGAAACAGCAGTATTTTGCACATTTAGGATAATGGGAATGATCCCTAAGTGAGATTTCAAAAAGCTGGCTATTCTAAGTACGAGACAGGGTCCATTCCACCTTGGGAGTAGATGTGACTGTTTCAGGAACTATTTGTTGAACGAATAATTGGGGGAGAAGGGGAGGTCGAATCAGGTGCAATTTAAGTTCTGACATCATTTACCTTGGGACCTGGAGAAAGGACTATACCACTCAGTTGGCTTGAGGGGATGGTTAGGAAGCAAGCTAGACAAGGATTTTCTTTCCATTCTCTAGCCCCTCCCCCTTTTTTCTTTCATAATTTTCAGAAAACAAAGAAAGCAGTCACTCATTATCAGTGCAGAATTAATCACAAAGTTAATCAAGCTGAAGGGTCAGAGCCCCTTTCTTGCAGAAGCCCTTTGCAAGGCTATGCACCTAATTTTATATTTGTGATTTTATATTCTTATTCTTAAAGAGAACCCCAGCATTATATGTTTCATGGCTTGCAAAACCTGGACATAACTCTAAGTCTCAAAATGCAATTACCATATGTTCATTTTCACCTGAATTACTAATACTGCAGAAGTATCTCTCATTTTTATCATTTCAAGTAAAATCCTGGTTTAAAATGATACTTTCCCTGTTAGGACTTGCAATGACTAAGTAAAGAGCTTTTCAAAAGTCATTTGGCAGAGTTTCATCACGGATCAGCAAGAAAAAAGTGCATGCATATAAAATTTGCTTAAGCCCATACACAAAGGCATTTTTGCCTTCTCACCTTTCGTGGCTTTCTTTTGCTGTTACTTTGATCACTTAAGGACATGAAATCAAACAACGTCTAAGAGGCTTGGGTCCAAATGACTTGGGACCCTAAGTTTCCAAGAAACTCTAGCTCTACATGGATCTACATAAAATAAATTAATTGTATTGAAAGACATTTGCCTATTCAAGGACCACCCAAACACAAAGTCTTAGAAGAATAGGACGAATCAGTAGAGGCCAAGAATGCTGCAGATTCCTCCAGTCCCTCTGGGAAGACCTCAATTCCCTGACCAGTTGCTTTCCAAAGTGCAGTATCTGAAAAAGGTCTGGTGTGACCCAAATCACAAATTGCAGTTAATGCTCATTTACAAGATCAAACAACTTGAGTGAGAGCAGTTAAAACTGTAATAAAATTTTAAACACAGATTTCATACTTTTAATTTTCCAAATCTGTCAGATTGAGCTATTTTATGTACTTGACTAAAGTAATACTCTATGAAGTCTAGTAAATACATATTTTCCAATAACATTTTAAATCATCTTTTTCTGCACTTTTCCTTCTCTCTTAATTCATTACTGAGACACAGGGAGAGTAAATACCTAGTATCCATCATATGCCTTGGCAAATTCTGGATTTATAATCACTGGATTAAGAGAATTTAGACATGACCACTTTTCAAAAATGAAAAATAATTATTTTCAAAAAGAGCTCTCTCAGTTCTTTTTGTTCAACTGTTTTGAGAGTTCCAGACATACTGCTGGAAGAAATTAAGATGAAACATATGCCATTGTATTTTTGGATATCTATCTCCCCAGTTTGCAAATTTAAAGAAAAACATGAATGGGCTAAACGGACCACTGAATTTTTTTCTTGACATTAATTTAACATAAATAAAATTAATCAGAATAACTGTTGGGGCACCTGGGTTGCTCAGTCAGTTAAGTATCCCAACTCTTGATTTGGGCTCAGGTCATGACCTCATGGTTTGTGAGATGAGCCCCACGTCAGGCTCCATGCTGTCAGCATGGAACCTGCTTGGGATTCTCTCTGTCCCTCTCTCTGCCCCCCCGCCAAAACCCTTGATCTCTTTTTCTCTCTCTCTCTGCCCTTCTGCTGCTGCTCTCTCAAAATAAATAAATAAACATTTTTTTAAAGGAGTAACTATTAATGACCCTACAAAATTAAGGATATAAAGAACATACAAAGGCAGGAAAATACAATACCTATGTTAATTTACAACAGTCTAAAAACTAGTTTGGGGCTTAAATTGGAATACACACCAATTTTGACACTAAAATTGTCTTTACTATCCTAAAGATCAAATTCATAAAGAGTTCACTTATGCATGAGGAGCTTACTTTTCTACTCCATAAAATACAGCATAGTAAAAAACACCATCACTGTATAGTTGAAGTAAGAAATTAGTACCTAACACATAGAGAGTAAGTACTTAACAAATATTCACTATTATCACTATTATTGGGCTGGCTTGGGCACGGCTGTGTCCTCAGTGCACAATAGTCCTAGTTCTTCCCTGGGGGGATGCTCAATAAAGGACAGTATTTTTTTTTCCAGGATTATACTAATGGAAATTTGTCTGTGTTATTCTGAATGAGGACCTGTGCTTAAGGAAGGGAGATGGCACTGGTAAAATCCAAGGTGAACATTTAGAGCCAAACTTTCCTGCTTTTCCAAAAGCAAGATTGCTCCACAATTTATTTTATCTTGACAATACTACCTCACATATGGAACAGAGCCAAAGAATTAGATGCCCTCTTCAGGGATCTGGGGGTAGCATTCTTTCCCTTTGCCTTTTCTACTGCTGACTTAGTAAGTCACTTTTACTAACTTGGTAAAGGTTATCCACACTGAGGAATGTTCAGGCCCTATTCCTGCCCATCACGTCCACCCCCTCAAAATACTCTCCCATCACAACAGATGTCACAATATTTTGTGGTGGGAGTAGAAGATGATATACGCCATGACCCATCTGGGAATATGATCCGTGCTTTTAAATTTCCAGGTATAACATATCGGTTAAAATTGAGGTTCTAGAACCATATTTCCTAGGATTGAACCCTATTTCTACAGACTCTTTTAGCTGTATTTCCTAAAGTACTTAACCTCTCTGCCTCACTTTCCTCCTTTGTAAAATGAGCATAAGAATAGTACTATCAGAATAAGGCTGTAGTGAGAATTAAATCAGTACCTAACATATAGTTAGTGCATAACAAATGTTATCTGCTATCACTATCATTCTACTGTTTTTATAAGGATAAGTAACTTATTTATTTTTTTTAACGTTTATTCATTTTTCAGAGACAGAGTGTGAGCGGGGGAGGGGCAGAGACAGAGGGAGACACAGAATTCAAAACAGGCTCCAGACTCTGAGCTGTCAGCACAGAGCCCAACACGGGGCTCGAACTCATGAATCGTGAGATCATGACCTGAGCCGAAGTCTAATACTCAACCAACTGAGCCACCCAGGCACCCCCAGGATAAGTAACTTTTTAAAAAAAATTGTAATTTCCCATCTGTAAAATTAGGCTAATATAAAAACGTTATGTATAATGTAGAAACTGTTCTGCCTTGACATTTTAGATATTTTTATGCATCTCTTTCCTATTAGATTTCAGACTCCTTGAGGACAAAATCCATGTTTTCTAATGTCTGTATCCCTCATGATATCTAAAGGAGCACCTCACACTCACTAGAGATTGAGTAAATATCTACTGAATTAATAAAGTAGTGAATAAATTAACAAATAAAATGCATTTGTGTCACCTAGTCTAGTGATTTTTTAAAAACTGTACATTGTGGTTTACTAGGTTATAAAATAAACTTAGCAATTCATTACCATTATTAAATGAAACAGGTCAGA